GACACAGGGGCTTGGAGCAAGCTGCTCCAGTGGAAGGGGTCCCTGCCTGTGGCAGGGGTTGGAACTGGAGGAGCTTTAAGGTCCAATCCAAACCATTCTATTGTTCCTGGCAGGACAAGAGTGCAAAGGGACAGCCTAAAGTCCAAAGCACACTTCCCATTCATTAGTTTAATGTTTGCTGAATCACCGGAAGCAAAAAGGAGGGCCCAGCAGATACAAGCAAAAACGTGTGCAAGGTCAGAACCAGTTGAACACTGCCATCACTCCCCGCCTCGTTTGCAACCTACTGACACATCCACCTCCCTGCAGGCAGAGCTCTGGAGCTTGTCCTGCTCCTGCCTGTACTTCTGCAGAGGGATGGGGCTGATCCTGAAGATTTTGATCCCTTTGCTGGGACTGGTGCTGGCCTACTATTTTTATTCAGCTCCCGAGAACTTCAATGAAGGTAAGTCACTGGAAAATCACATTTAAACCCACAACCAGCGAGGCTGCTGCCAGAGCAGCAATGTGTGCCCACATGGAAGAGCACTGGCTGTTGGAAGGGCATTTCAAAGCACACATGGAAAAGCTGGAGCACGGGAGGGCTGAGGGATGGGAGAGAAGCACAGTTAACACCCAGTGCAGGGGGTCAGAGCACTCTGCACCACACAGGAAAGCTCCTGGAAATACAAGTGGGTCTGCTGGGGTGCATGGTTGTCAGTAAATGCTCCATCCCTGGCAGTGCTCAAGGCCAGGCGGGACAGAGTCTTGGGTGACATGGCCTAGGGTGAGATGTCCCTGCCCATGGCAGGAGGTCAGAACTGGATGATTTTAAGGTACTTTCCAACCCGAACTATTCTATGATTCGACGATTCTGGTTTCAGCTCTAAGTTATTTTTCTCCTTCCTGGCAGCCGGTGCAGTGCCATGTTTTGGCTTTAGTCTGGGAACAGTGTTGATAACATGACAATGTTTTAGTTGTTTCTCAGTACTGCTTACTCTGATCAAGGACTTTTCAGCCTCTCGTGCTCTGCCAGCGAGGAGGGGCACAAAAAGCTGGGAGGGAGAAAAGAGAGGACACCGGAACCGAGCTACACAAATGGGTATTCCATACCACAGCACATCATGCCCAGTATAGAAACTGGGGGAAGGTACCCAAAAGAAACTGCTCAGGTCAGGCTGAGCATTGGTCAGTGGGTGCTGAGCAATTGCATTGTGCATCACTTGGGTTTTTTTTCCTTTCCCCCTTTGAGTTTTATATTCTCTCCCCTTGGTACTTCCCTTAGTAGCAGTAGCAGTGTATTATACTTCAGTTGTTACGCTCTTACTTCAACCCGTGGGGGTTACATTCTCACGATTGTCCTCCCCATCCTGCCTGAAGAGGGGAAAAGTGTGCAAACGGCTGCACGGTGCTGAGCTACCTGGGCTGGGCTTAAATCACAACAGCAGCCTGATCTCTGTAAAGTATTTACTTAGAAAACATGCAGTTTCCCACTCTATTTGTCAACCCTTGCCATGTCCAAAAGCCCTCTCAGGCTGGATGCAGAGCTCAAGCCTCACACATGCTCCCCACCAAACTGGGATTAACAACCAGGGGCAGGGATGGGGAGCAGTTGGGCTGTGCCAGCTCTGAGCTCTGCATCCTCCTCTCCAGAGATGCTCCGTGGGAAGCGGGTGATCGTGACCGGAGCCAGCAGCGGCATCGGGGAGCAGATGGCTTATCACCTCGCACGCATGGAGGCCCACCTCCTGCTCACAGCACGCACGGAGGCCAAGCTGAAGAAAGTAAATGGCAAGCAGAGCTTATGTCGGGCTGGCAAACCCCATTCACAACCCTGAACCCCACAGGCACACAGATATCCACCCTATCCTATGCATGTGGGGATGCCACGCAGCCCACAGATCCAGTCCACTGTCTCCCCTGTTCTAACACACCGACACCCCTACCACAACAAATTGTGTGGTCAAAGCTGAAAGCACAGCGTTTCCTTCTCTGCAGTCTTCAGCTGTGAATTCTGATCATCACCACTAATCTGCCCAGGGCCTGGTCTGATCAACCTTTGCCCTTCCTCAAAGTCTGAGCTGGTTTTGCATCCTGTATACAACAAATCAAAGTTGAGCAATCATATTCCTATTTATAAATGGGAAATATTTGTACTATTAACTCTGCAGCCAGAAACACTTCTCTGAGCAATGTGTCTCCTCCCATAAAGGGAGAAGGGCTTCCAGTGGGACAGGGTGACGGCTGCCCATCCACCCCAAAACGGAACAGCCCTCATGGGATGGGGTGGTCCTTGGAGGGGATTCCATTGCTACCACTGTTCTCACTGTCACTGCAGGTAGTGAGGCGGTGCCTGGAGCTGGGCGCCGCGTCCGCCCGCTATGTGAGCGGCTCTATGGAGGACGCCACGTTCCCCGATGTGGTGGTGAAGGAGGCTGAGAACACCTGGGGTAGGTGCTTTGGGACCATCCCAGCCACCAAAAAGCTGGTTGGTTTTGAGATGCTGGTTCCTAACAGCAAACACACTCTGCTTGCAGGCGGCCTCGATATGCTCATCCTAAATCACATCGGTTACAGCTACTTCAACTACTTTGATGGGGATGTTGGGCACATCCGAAAGCTCCTGGAGATCAACTTCCTCAGCTACGTGGCAATGACAGTGTCTGCCCTTCCCATGCTGAAGGAGAGTGATGGTAGCATTGTTGTCCTTTCATCCATGGCAGGTGAGCACACAAGGGGCCAGGCTCTCCCTGCCCACATCCCTTCCTCTGCCTGCAGGGGATCCCTGCTGTACCTCCTCTTCAAAAGACAGAAGAAGGACCATATAGCAGAAAGCTACAGGTCACTGGGAGTCAGGATTAGCATAGGATTTATCCTGGATGCACAATTTGAGTCCTCTGGGGGGGTTATATTCCATGTCCTGTTCTGCCAGTCTCTTTGCATCCACTAATCACCTTCATGCACTGAAGTCGATGATACACCACTGCATGGCCACATATTACACACAGGAATACATACAGCAAAACACAAACAGTAGCGCCCACAACTGAAGGTACTTCATGCCATATGCGGCATTTAAACATTCCTGCATTTATTTATTTCTCTCAAGCATTCATCACAGCAAACTCCAACTCCCTAAACCTCAATAGCATAGCTACTTGAAGGGCAAGAGGAAGGGAGAGCCACGCAGCCTGGTCTGCCCACTACACAAACCCTGATGTCTGGTGTGTCTCTGTTCCAGGTAGAATTGGCACCCCATTTATTGCTCCCTATACTGCAACTAAGTTCGCCTTGGAAGGGTTTTTCAGCTCCTTGAGACAGGAATTCATCATGGAAAAGGTCAACGTCTCCATCACACTCTGCGTCCTGGGCTACATTGACACAGGTGAGCTCAGCATCACTGGGACCCCATGACAATGCATTTCCAGGCAGAGCCAAGTCAAGCCCATGACCTGCCCTGCAGCCCCAGGCTGCTCAGCACCTTGCTTTTCCACCACTGCTGGAACCCAGGCTGCAGGGGCTGTGCAATCATGGAAACAGAACTCCATCTCCTTAAAGTGTGGTCTGAGAGCTCTGTCCCTGCTATCCTCGCAGTAAACCCATGGAGGTGGAGCTTCCACCCTGTGGTGACTCAAGAGGTAGAAAGGAACGGGAAGGCCATTGCTATAATTATAGTTCTACCTACTCTAAGTAGGACCGATGCTCAGTTTGTTGGAGGAAGCAAGTGCCCACGGCAGCCCCTCCATCTGACACTGCTCCTCCCGTCCCTGCAGAGAACGCGGTGCGAGCGGTCTCGCACGCCGTGCGGCACAAACCAGCGCCAAAGGAGGAATGTGCACTGGAGATCATCAAGAGCGGGGCGCTGCGCCAGCGGGAGCTGCACTACCCAACCCGGCTGATGGGCAACCTGCTGCTCCTCCGGGCCGTAGCCCCCGACTTCCTCGACTCCCTCATCAGGGGCAACTATAAGGTGGAAAACATCAAAAGACCATAGCGCCCAGGGCAGGGAGCATGCCAGGACACCTTGGGCCAGACACGAGGGGTTTGGGTGTTAATCTGGCTACTTGGGTGCCCTTTTCCATGCCACCAGGACAGCCCCATGCTGATGCACCCTGGCAACCTGAGACAGCTTTAGAGAATCCCAGACTGGCTTGGGCTGAAAGGACCTTAAAGCTCCTCCAGCTCCAACCCCTGCCACAGGCAGCGACACCTTCCATAGAGCAGCTTGCTCCAAGCCCCTGTGTCCAACCTGGCCTTGAACACTGCCAGGGATGGGGCAGCCACAGCTTCTCTGGGCACCCTGTGCCAGCGCCTCAGCACCCTCACAGGGAAGAGCTTCTGCCTAAGAGCTCATCTCAGTCTCCCCTCTGGCAGGTTAAAGCCATTCCCCTTGGCCTGTCCCTGCAGGCCCTTGTCCAAAGCCCCTCTCCAGCTTTCCTGTTGGCCCCTTTAGGCACTAGAAGCTGCTCTAAGGTCTCCCTTAGGAACCTTCTCTTCTCCAGGCTGAACCACCCCAGCTCTCTCTGCCTTTCTAGGATACACCAGAAGTCAGTTACACACAGCATTAAAACATCCTTTTTAGTAGTGAACTCTTGGCTTTTTTCCAACCAAGAGGCTTCTTTAGAGAAGCTCCTGACAGCAGGATCTGCTGCCAGCATCCTGCTCACCAGCAGGTTTCCTGATCAGCCTTCCCACACCAAGAGCCACAAAGGCAGTGGTGCTGAGCCAAGGCCAGAATGAACAGCACAGAGCACCCAAAGCCTCAAGAGCCTCTTTGAACTGTGCCTTTTTCATTTGGTCATATATCCCTTCTAGGCTGGTCTTTGTAAAAATAAATCCTGTGTTACAAGATCTCTGCTTTTACTTGTGTTCCTTTCCAAAAGGCACAGAGCCCTTATCAGGGAACAGCTGGTTAAACCCACCTCTCTGCATGATTTGCATTAACGCAGCTTTCACTTCTCTTAAAGACCTTAATGAATTCCTGGCCATTGCTGACCTCTCCTCAGCTGCCCATACACACTTTTTTCCCCTTTCCAATCTGCAAAAAGCCTTAAAATAATAGCATTACTGTACTTCCCCAAGCTTGGATTTCTCTACCCCAAAGCAGCTCGGGGAGACTCGGTCATCAAATGCCACAAAAGCAGCTCCATGAACCAGCACCCAACCTGAGCCTGTTGGAGACCACTGCAGGGAGATGGCCCAAAAGATAACTGAGCTCTGCTTAGAGAGAAGCTGGGGACATTGGGGTCCCAAGATAACCCAAATCCCACTGCAAGCCTGGCCCCTGCGCCCCGCAGCTGGGCTGTGAGCAGAGACAGGAACCAGGGCTCGGCTGCAACGTTTCCTGTTTTAGAGCAGAGAGCAGCAGAACGAGGTGGTTGGCACAGAGATGGCAGTTGGAGCGTGTTCATGCCTGATAACACCCAGCTTTGCCGTGGACATTGAGGGGTAGGACAGGACCTTTGGGTCAGGTAAGTGCCCACAGCACCAGCGTGGTGAGGGATGGAGGGGAGCAGAAAACGCTGCGCTAAAGGCAGCGGCATGCACCTTTTTCTCCTCTTTTTGCCCCACTTTCAGCCTACACTTTGACAGCAGGAAGCTGTAACATGAACCAGCAAGAAGCACTTTTTTGTTTGGGGTGGGAATTTTGTTTCCCTTGAAGCAAGAAGGGTAACAGCTTGGAAAGCAAAGATAAAGGACGTGTTTGAGGGTAATTTAGGGTAGCAGAAGGAGGAAATAAGAGTATTAGCTTGTCAAGAAGGCCTTAACAGTTTGCTCAGTGTGGGGTGAGTAATGGACTGTGTGATTCTGTAAGCTTTACCTTGCTTTAAAGAGCATTTTTGGTTCACTGAATCTATTACGAATGCTGCTCTTGGGATGCACAGCACCAGGCTGGGCAGCCCAGAGAGGTGGGAGAGGGGCTGAGCTTCCTGATGGGAAGAGCTGGATGAGCAGGGATGGAGGAGGACATCCACAGGCCGGACTGAAGATGCAATTGGGCCATTTCTAAAACTAAGAAAAAGTGGTTGAAAAAACTCTTTTACAGCATCCAGAAGAGTTGGGAACAGTTTGGTTGTAGACACAGGCTCTGCCCCATGCTATGGGGTTCATACTCAGCTTTAAGGGAGATGATCACAGGGCACTGTTGCCAGATCTTGCCTTGGCTTCTGGGCCAGGGAAAGCAAGTGTGCACCATGGGGAAAAGCCCTGGGTGAGCACAGTGGGACTGGTGTGGCACAGACACGAAAGCTGCATGGGAACAACCTGCTCAGCCTTTTGTACCTGCTTTCAATGTCTGAGAGAGCTGTGCTGGTTCAGACTGGAGAAGAGAAGGCTCCTTAAGGGGAGACCTTAAAGCAGCTGCAGTGCCTAAAGGGGCTCCAGGAAACTTGGACAGGGGCTTTGGACAGGGGCCTGTAGGGACAGGACAAGGGGAATGGCTTTACCCTGATCACAGGCTCAGCCCTGGGAGCACTGTCCTGGATGGGGGTTTGCAAACACCTTCCCAGCCCACAGCAAGAGCTGAAGTACCCACAGCGAGAAGATGGGACCGGCAACCAGCTTTGAGCACACCACAGTTAGCACAAGGACAATAAAGGGGATTATGGAGCAGGTTTTATGCATTCTAAAAAGCACAGAGGTATTATACATTTAAATAGGGGCTACTTGTTCCCATTTTTTTCCCATTAGACTCAACTACTTCCTTATTGCTTGAGACAGAGTGACACCAATGAAGTTTTGATGGTTTTGTTTTGACACTGAAGAACATTTGAGTTGTCAAAAACTAAACTGGGTTTTCCCCCCTCCTTCCTACATTAATGGGATTTGCCAAACACAAGAAAAGCTCCAGACATGGTCACAGCAGCTCCCAAGATGAACCCCCCCAGGCTGGGCACCCTCTGAGCAATGTACATGGGATGTGCACAGGGATGATGAGCCTCTTTGCTGATGGGGTGAGGGGACAAGAGACTAGGACACAACTTTAACTCAAGGGGAGGAAGAAGAGCGCTTGAGGGTAGTTATTGCTCAGCTCAGTATGTTCTAGTGGACTTTGGTCATAATGCACTGGTGGCTTGCAACCGTGCAGAGAAGTCAGCAAGAGGGAGAAGGTTTCATATCTACACCCTGCGTGTACACGTAGATGGCTGCAACAGAGCTGGAATGGAGGAGCTCCTCCTTCAGGCCACAGAGACCCCAGAAATAGAGGCAGAATTTGTGCCTGAAGCAAACCACTCAGAATACAACGCAGCTCCTCAAGAGTTAACTCACAAACCAGCACTTCTGTTCGGACCTACTGAAAAAAAAAGCTGGCAAAAGAAATGCACACTTATGAGAAGTTCAGAGCAGGAACAGCAGCTATCAACAACAAGAGAAGAGAAGGCTCCTGAAGGGGAGACCTTAGAGCAGCTCCAGTGCCTAAAGGGGCTGCAGGAAACCTGGAGAGGGGCTTGGGACAAGGGCCTGTAGGGACAGGCCAAGGGGAATGGCTTTAACCTGCCAGAGGGGAGCCTGAGATGAGCTCTCAGGCAGAAGCTCTTCCCTGTGAGGGTGCTGAGGCGCTGGCACAGGGTGCCCAGAGAAGCTGTGGCTGCCCCATCCCTGGCAGTGCTCAAGGCCAGGTTGGACACAGGGGCTTGGAGCAAGCTGCTCTAGTGGAAGGTGTCCCTGCCCGTGGCAGGGGTTGGAGCTGGAGGAGCTTTGAGGTCCCTTCAACACAAATAAATTATGATACGATTCTATCACTCTTCCCGTGTTTCCACTTTTTTCTTTAGGTTAGCTAAAGAACTGTAACAGCATACCCAATAGAATCAGTTTGAATAACAGAGGGATTTTATCAGGAAATAGTCTCTCCCGAGGAAGCATCATTACTTGGTAGTGAGGCCTGAGGCTGCATTTGAAATCCTGCTCCTAGCATCCCCAGGTCAGCACCCACCCAACAGAGGGGCAAGAACAGCACCATGTGTTTACACAGCCAACGCATGCAAGTTCACAAGAACAGATTTCTCCGGGAACTTCGCCTGCACTCACTGCCCGAGGATTCCAGGATGAGCATCCGATAACTCACACGCATTTACTCCTAGGAATAACCAGTTTGCACTCAGACCATGCCTTTCCCCTGGCTTTCAGCAGGTCAGAGGACCCCGGAGCGGTCACAGACACCATGATCAACCAGCCCCAGAAGCCACGGCCGCGGCGCAGGCACGAGAGCTACGATGAGAAGTGCGAGCGGCGGCACGAGATGCGGGAGAACCGGCGGCGGCGGCACAACGTGACAGCGTGCCGCCACACCGGGACGGGGACACCGGACCCACTGCAGAGCCCCCGGCAAAGGGAGTTCCTGAGGAGGAGGATCGGGGTGGATCACGCTGGAAGGGCGCCGCCGGGACAGCGCATCCCGCTGGATCCCTCTGCGCGGTTGGAGCTGAGACCATCCATCCTGCTCCAGGTAACCCGCTCTGGGTAGCATGCACTGCAGCACCCACACATCAAAGCACATCCAAAAAGCAGGACTGCACAGACCACAGTGTGCATTTCCTAACGAGCTGGGGAGTTCAGCATGGATAAATGCTGTTGCCTCCCTCCCGCTCCTCTCCTGGTTTCCACACCCTGAACCAGATGGAGATGTTCTGCCATTCCTCCCAGCACAACCCCACCTCCTAACTGCCAGACTATAGCTTTGCACTTACATAAATTACTTTTACCCTCGAAAACTGAGCTCTAAGCACCAGGCTTCCCTCCAGCACCTTCACTGTTAGCAGGAAGGATGCAGGAATGAGATTCCCTGGTACTCATCACCAGCCCTGTGCTGCACAGCTAACAATGACCCAGAGGGCTCACTGCCTGAGTAACACCTATAGAAAGAGGCAATTCAAAACACCCCAATCTCAGAGCCAAACAGATTTCCTTCTAAGTTCATAACCCATACAAAATGAACAACTCTCCTGGTAGGCTGCGAGTTCATCTTAGGGGCACCACAACCTCCTGTGAGCAGAGGCAGTGGAATGCAAGATGACTTCCACAGACATGGCCTCAAGCTCCCTTTGTACCACAGGAGAGTTCAGAGCAATTACCTGCCTCCTGCTGCCATTCAGGTCACCAAACCAGGAGGTTTTCTCCCACTTCCTCACAGAGCTCTGGAGCCAGAGCAGCAGATCCTTATGATTTGCCATGGTTTCTTGGCATCTCCTTGCTGCTCTTCACCCAGTCACTGCAGGTACAAACACTGACCTGGCCACAGCTCCCCCCCTCCATTCCTCACAGCCCGTTCTGCAGATGCTGACTCGAGCTGCTCTCTCATTCCAGCACCCATGGAGCTGCCCCACATTCCCCCCTGCATTCTCCCCGCTCGGCCTCAGCATCCCCTGCAGCACTTCAGCAGAAGCCATCCCCAGGCGAGGTGTGAACACCCAAGGTAGGTGAAGGGTGCTTGTGTTTCTCTCCCACATCTCCATCAAGTAATTTGGGATGTTCCTCTCTAACCCAAGCTCCCCTGGCAGCAGCCCCACTCCTGCACAGGGTTTTACCACCCCAACCTGAGTTTCCCTGCATATGCCAGGAATACTCCTCCTGCAGAAGGATAAACCAACCCATAGTTTAACCATCAGTGCCCTATGGCTTCCCTGTGAGTGCCCCAGAGTATCCAGGGGCCTGGGGGATAACTTCAGTCTGCAGGATCACTTCCACTTCTCCATCCATCGGAGAAGGACTCTCCTCTGGTCCCTACTGAGTTGTGTTACTGGATGGTGTTTAAGCAGCAGTTCTCCATTCTAGAAGCAATGTGATCCGAGATGGACACCCAAACAGAAGAACTTCATAGCCCCTCAGGGAGGGGGGGATCGTTCACATCCTCTCACTTTGCTTTCACAGGAACACAGACCCTTACAAACCCAAGGGCAGGAGCAAAAGACTCAAGCCAACAGACAGAGTAAGCTGGCCCTCCCCTCCCTCCCAGGGCTGGGGATTCAGATACCTGCAAAGCAGCAGCTTCCAATGCACGTGTTTAATCTCAGCACAAGCTTCCACTGTGCAAATACCAGCACTCTGCTTGGAGCAGCTGGCGCCCAGAGCCACTGACTGCTAAGACCCCACCACCACGCTCACCTCAGTAACATGCTTTCTTCTTTATTTCAGTTGTGGAATAGCAGTTTTAAATAAGGTAAGAAAAACACAGGGACTTCTGACCCGTGGATATCATAGAGTCATGGAATGGTTTGGGTTGGAAGGGGCCTTAAAGCTCCTCCAGCTCCAACCCCTGCTATGGGCAGGGACCCCTTCCACTGGAGCAGCTTGCTCCAAGCCCCTGTGTCCAACCTGGCCTTGAACACTGCCAGGGATGGGGCAGCCACAGCTTCTCTGGGCACCCTGTGCCAGCGCCTCAGCACCCTCACAGGGAAGAGCTTCTGCCTAAGAGCTCATCTCAGTCTCCCCTCGGGCAGGTTCAAGCCATTCCCCTTGGCCTGTCCCTACATCCCTTGTCCCAAGCCCCTCTCCAGCTTTCCTGCAGCCCCTTTAGGCACTGGAGCTGCTCTCAGGTCTCCCCTTCAGGAGCCTTCTCTTCTCCAGGCTGCCCCAGCCCAGCTCTCTCAGCCTGGCTCCAGAGCAGAGCTGCTCCAGCCCTTGCAGCATCTCCATAATATCTCTTAGTCTCATTCAGTAGCAGCCCTGATTCAACACATGACATGGCAAAGATGCCACAACTCGGATGCTGTAAGCTGCAAAAGCCAGTCATTTCCATGGGAAAACCAAACACCTACAGCCCAGCAGGCTCCTCCAGACCATTAGCTTCAGTTTCATTCCAAAATACTTGGATTTTGGAGCCAGCTCATAAAGTGTTTATAAACAGAAACAACCCTACTGTTTTCAAACATTTGCCCTTTCCCTTTCAGGAAATGGTGCAGTTATCCAACTACCTCAAGGTAGGTGCCAAACACTGTGAATTGCCCACAGAGAAAGCAGGACTTTGGGAATCGTAGAATCAACCAGGTTGGAAAAGATCTTTAAGATCAAGATCATCAAGTCCAACCATTCGCCAGCACTGCCAAGGCCTTGTCTACATGTGTTTTAGAACAATATCATTATTGAATCATAGAACGGTTTGGGCTGGAAAAGACCTTAAGAACATCCAGTTCTACCCCCCTGCCATGGGACACCTCACACTAGACCATGTTGCCCAAGGCTCTGTTCAGCCTGGGCTTGAACGCTGCCAGGGATGGAGCATTTACCTTTTCCAGCACCTCACCACCCTTACAGTAAAGAGCTTCTTCCTTATCTGCAACCTGAACTTCCCCTGTTTCAGTTTGAACCCACCACCCCTTGTCCTATCGCCACAGTCCCTGATGAAGAGTCCCTCAATGCATGAAAGGGTGCTGCCTGCCCAATTGTAACATACCAAGAAGTCCTACATGTGAGCCACAGCACACCAAGACCTGTCTGTCCCCACTGACCAGCTCTCCCCTTCCCCATAGGAGGCCCTGCACCGTGAGCTGCTGCTCAAGCAGAAGATGGTGATTTTGCAGGAGCTTTTCTCCACGTTGCTGCAAGCATCAGAAAAGTCCTGGCAGGTACCAGAGAGCTGCAGGAGGTTCCTGCTGGGCCATGGGTGGGACTGGGTTTGCGTGTAGCAGCACGAGCACCCCACGGGGCTCCCTTTCTATCTGTAGCTCTGCCCAGCTCCAGTGCTTTGCAGGTTTAAAAGACAACGCTGTCACCCAGCAAACAAGACATCATGTGGAGCCATTCCCCTGCAAGTAGCTGCTTGTCCTGCCTCTTTCCTTGCTGTCATCTTTCTTCTCAGGGAGGGCTGAACACAAGACAAAGTTAGGGCGTCACTTTGCCTCACATTTTCCCCCCTTTTGTGCCCCAAAAGACTGTTACAAAACACACTTAGCTTTCAGATCAACAGGAAGTGTAAAACCCTTTCCTTCTGCAAGGTTTTAGAGGGTTTTATACTTGCCTTTCCTGCTTTTTCCTAAATAAAAAGCAACCAGAAGTGTGTAAACAGCTACGAAACTGGAATAAACCCAAACCACCATCTCGCACCAAATTTTCATCCCTGTCAAAACAAGTTTCAAGCATTTTGAACCACTTCAGGGTTTTTTTGGCCAAAATAAAAGTTTCAGATGCAGCACAGTGATGAACCCAAGTGTTGGCAAATGCTGCCCTGGATGAGGAAAGAGGCTGCTGCTTAACCTGGGAACACAACAGCTAACCCGTGCCCCATCCATCCATTCCATCTAGCTCTCAGCTATCCAGCCTGCTCCTCACAAGGATCTGTGGGGATATCCTCCATCCCACCACTGCCCTGCTTCCTTCAGGGATATATTCTGGGCCCCAGATACAGACTGGAGGACCCAGCACCACGATGGGAGCACGATGGGTGAACCATGGCTCTGCATCAAACCATTTCCTCACAGCTCAAACAAAACCTGTGGGCAGCACTGAACCAGGACCCAGATTTATTTCTTATCAGGAGGTAAAATTAAAGTGATGCATTTTATGCAAGGTATGAAGCATTTTAAACAGGGTTACTTAATCAAACATGAATTTACAGTCCACTGCACCTTTAAAAAAGTGCTTTGAAAGTTCTGTTGGGGCAGAAAAGTGAGCGATTGGGTGAGATGGCATAAAACCCCTTGTGTTAGACATGCTGTGGTTAGAAACTTCCGCCTTCGCTTGCTGCTTCAAATATAATATGAGCAGGAAAAAGCATCCTGACACACTCAGCAGGACGTAGCCATGAAACCTCAGATTAGAAAGAGGTGGGTGCACTTTGCTTCTTGCTATCTCTGCTGCACAACAGAGGCTTTGCTGCTGCCTCTTGCTTTCATCAGGCTAAAAATTACCTTGCTGCTGGCACAGGAGCCAGAAGCAAGGCAGATGCTGGAGGTGGTCCAGGGGAGGTGCAGGGAGAGGCTGGGAACAAGAGGTTTCTCCAGGAGAGCTGGCAAAGGGAGGTACGGACAATGCTGTGCAGTGGAAGTCATAGAACCACACAATGGTTTAGGTTAGAAGGGACCTTAAAGCCCATCCACTTCCAACCCCTTGCCTTGGGCAGGGACCCCTTCCACTGGAGCAGCTTGCTCCAAGCCCCTGTGTCCAACCTGGCCTTGAGCACTGCCAGGGATGGGGCAGCCACAGCTTCTCTGGGCACCCTGTGCCAGCGCCTCAGCACCCTCACAGGGAAGAGCTTCTGCCTAAGAGCTCATCTCAGTCTCCCCTCGGGCAGGTTAAAGCCATCCCCCTTGAAACAACCACAGAGTCATATTTGAAGAGCTGCTCATGTCCGTGGGTGCTTCTGGCTCAATGGAGCAAGTGAATACTCTGCAGGAGAATGAGGGTGTTGTTAAACTGAAGGGATAAAGCATTTAGCTCCTTCTGTCTGCCATGATTTTACTTCTAGATTAAGACCTTCCTACCAAAGGTCTGTACCTCAAATCTGTTGTAAAACTTGCTCAGGTGATTCAAGAATGTTGCCAGTTGAAAGAAGCTAAGTCTCAGTTATGATTATTAAAAGTAATTCATTTTAAGTTGTTCTCTTCTTGAAAATTACTCCTTTAATACATTTTCTTCCCTTCCTGACCTCTCAAGTTGAACCTGACTTTTGGAAGTACTCTGAAGCTCTGCAGAGTTTATGCTCTTTGTCATTTCCAGTGCATTATTACTACTGCTACTACTATATGCACTTGATTTTCTAGCACAAGCATTGTGTTTGGGCAAACTGGAAGCCTTCCAGAAACAGCATTTATTATTATTGATTTACACCAGCTATCTAAAACAAGGGAAGGAGTATCATAGAACTCACTGATCACAAGACAACCAAAATCAGTTTAAAATACTCATATGGCAATATTTAAATGACAGCAGTAGAGAAATGCAGAAGAGTTTGGGAGAGGTTTTGGAGCTGCCTATTCAGGTAACCTCAGACTCTCTGAAGAAGAGGGCTACAGAGGATTCAAATGTGGTATAGGCCAGACTATTTTAAGCAAGTTAACCCTAATCCTGTCCTCTTCCTGGCTCCCAGTGGGTGGTTTTGGGCTTAGGTTTTGGTTAGTTTGGGTGGGGGTTTGTTGGTGTTTTGATTTGAAAGCAGTCCCTTTCATGTAGATAATCCTCAACGCAGGCTCCACCACTATTTGCTCACGTAACTTTTCTGGTCAGAAGCATCATTTCTTATTCCTCCCACACTCACTCACCCCACGCTGCCATGCTGTTCTGGTAGCAGCCCCGACAACCAACTTATTCCATTTCGGGAAACCTTTAGGTTCTTTTCCCCCATTTATAAGCTGTATCTCCATGAAAGGAGGCTGCCAACACATTTCTGCTGGGAAGCATAGGAAAGGCACAGCACTCTGCTGCCTTGCACTTTCCATGGTCATTCACATCTGTGCACAACAGCCACAAGGCCTCCATCCTCCAACCAAATAGAATAAAATACAATAAACTGCAGAGGAAAATTAGGCATAATATTTCACTTATAAAAATGTTTTTTAAAATCCCATCTACTTCCTAAGAAGATAAAGCCTTTTGTTCTTTGTACCAACAACTGAACTGGGAAGATTACTTGGGATTGGACTGTGTAAACCTAACCCGTGCTAAAATACCAGAGAATCTGGTTTTGCTTGGGTCTAACAGCTATTCCTGTAACATCAAGGAGCTGCTTTTCAGAGGTTTTATTTCAAACAGCAGTAAGCAGAGAAGATAGCAGCATTCTCAGTATCCGTGGTGGAAAAACAGCCCACGTGAACTCTTTGGTGGAAATTCTCTCTCAATTTGCATGCAGGCTGGTTTCATGAAACAAAAGTCTGACTAACACTGAGAGGAGATTATAATGAGAGAAATGAATCACTGTTGCCCTCTGACCCCCTGCCTAACTGCCAGATGTTGCAACACAGACCCAGCCTATTTCCTAAGGGAACCAGCAAGGCAAGACCTTAGCACCAGCTGGAACTTGAGGGAAGGAGTGCTGCAGGGAGGAGCCATCAGCCAGGTACAGGGCTATGCATGGGGACAGGCAGTTGTGCTGTCAGACTCATCCAGACTAACCTGAAATCCCCTTTCTCTTCTCATCTCACTGCAAGCAGCTGCACTCAGTAACCAGCAGAACTGCCCCAGGAGTGTTCTTTTATACATAAAAGTCTTACTTCTCCCATATCCCGTTTATTCTGAGATGGTGAAGGCTTGTTTGAACTCTAAGCACTGAAGAGATACTGAAGGGACTTTAGACACAATGTTATAGATGAAGGAAGAAAGCGAATCAAAATGCAAGCCAACAAAACACTGGGGGGCATATTGTATAGTCCGTGATTCCACACATCAGCTCACCTGTTTCTTCCCCAGGGTCAGCTGAATGAAGATAAACTGAAGTGCAAACTAAGGGCGCTTGAAAATCAGCTGCAGGCTTGCACCCAGGTAACATCTGATTCACTGAGAAACAGCCACGGGTGAAGAAAGGCACGAAAAGAGAACACCCAAGCATGTGATGAAGTCAGGTGTCAGTTTCTAGAGCAATCTGATTAGATACGGATCTGAAAATGATTTGTCCTCCTTGCTGAAGCAATGCTTCACAGCAAATCAGCAGCGGCTTTTACACTCTGGATTTACTAATGCTCAGGCTTAGCAAGATTAGAGGTAAGTCAGGTAAGACCCCTTCAATCACTTCAATTCTTCCTTTGAAGAGTTACTCAAAGGAGTGTGTGAAGAAGATCCTGATAGACATGGAGGACCAGAAGCAAACCTACGAGGAGAAGGCAAAAGAGGCTCTTCAGAAGATGCTGGAGGACAAACTCCAGACTGAACAGCAGCTGCAAAACTCTGAGGTAAGCAACATGGTTTACACCTAGGTTTGCTTTAATCTAGTCCAACTGCGATGAACAGCCCTCCCATTCTGCTCTGCACTCGCACAGGGAACAAGCCACACACACATCCAGGGAGCTGAGGGCTTCAGGGACATCTTTTCTGGAGCTGCTCTATTATATGAAAATAGATTTCCCCAAATTTCCTTTGACACACAGGATAACTGGAATTGTCAGAAAACACAAGTAAATCATCTCCCAAGCATTACCAGGCTTAAATACAGCCAGCACCACAACCAAGCCTCTGCCCAGGTTCACTCTGCCCATCAGAGGGCATCAGCCCCACACAGGTTATTCCAACCACCACCGCACAGGCAGAGGCAGTGCTGCCCCAGCCCCACAGAGCTCACATGAGCACCTGCAGGCGTTATTCAGAGCAGCCTGGCATGGTCCCACCACACCACCAGTCACAGCCCACCCGTGGGTCCTTGCTCTCCTCCCTAGAGAAGCCTGGCAGTGACGAGAGAGGACCTTGCCTTCTGGAAGGAGCACTACACCACTCTCAAAGCTGAACTGACCCAGATGACCACGGCGCACACTGAGCTCAAAAACAGCTTCCATATTCTGCAGAGCGAACTTCAGGTACGTCAATTCCCCACAGGAACGGCATCCAGTGGATACTGGAAGCCCAAGGGTTCAGGTGTCTGAATAACAAAACCCTGCTGATGGAGCACAGTGGTCACACACTCAACTCGAAGCTGAGCTGATGCTGGGGCTGTTCTCACCTGCAGCAAGCAGATGCACAGAAGGAGCAGCTCCACCAGGCCCTGTGCAGGCTGCAGAGCGAGCACTCTGCGCTCCACCAGCGAGCCGGTGCCCTGCGGGAGGACAATGACCTGAAGGCTGAGCACATCCGTGCCATCAAAGGTATCATGTGCAGGGGAATGGTGGTGGGGGTCCGTCCTCCAGGTGAATATAAGGAGGGAGGATATAAGGAAAACACTCTTAAAATCCTGTTCCTTAAACCCAACTACGTGCACTCGCAAAAGGCTCACTCTCTGTGCTGCGCACCTCGGCTTGCCATGAAACCTTCTGGTTTCCAAAGGGCTCCTAAAGTCATTTCCAACCAGATTAAAGGACTTCAGTGACTTGTAGGAGAAAGGCTGGAATGGTAGACCTGAAAACAAAAAAATCTCAGGGTCCTCAGCTTTGATGAGGACTTTTGCATCCTTGTTAGACCCATCAAACACAGCAAGGCAAGCCTGCCTGGGTTACTGTCTGAGGAGCTGCTGTGTGGTGGTGGATGTTACCAGTGTATAAATACAAGCCAGTAGTGTCCTAAAGCACCAATTCAGATAGAGACAAGGAAACACACATACTTTATGTGGCTGTTTTAAAGCACAACTAAGGAAGAGTAAATGGGTGGTGGTTCTGTTTTCAGAACAGTCTCAAACAGCTTTAAAATAAACCATAAATTAATAGAGGCACACCAGAAAAAACTGCCAAAACTGAAAGAGCACTTCAGAGCTAAAAATCACATCCCTTCAGAGAAGAACATCCAGTGCAGCCAACAACATCCCCTCCACAGCTGTGGAAAAGGGGGAAGTTGCCATCCCTGCATAAAGATGCAGTTTTACATCAACCTTGATTCCCTTCTACCATTATTTCAAATAAACTGCAAGAAGAACAAAACCAGAGGGTAAAGCTGGAGGCGACAATCAGCCATTTGCACAGTAAGTAACACAAACACACATAAAGCAATCCAAAGCATCAGTGCTGGGGATTGTAACACTGACTTTCGACATCCACAGACTTGATAGAGAACCAGACCAACAAACAGAAGCCCCAGGAGACGATGGCACAAAGGAAAGGTCAGCAAACTTTGTAACTCCCACCTAGCCCTGCTCACACTGGACACAGGAATGTTAGACCTGACTCTAGGAGAAGTCCACACTGTGTTAGAATAAAGGATTATTTTAAAGCTGCACAAACCAAGTTATTATATTTTTCTAGTTAACATTAAACCCTAAGTGTATTTATGATGGCAAAAACTTGTAAAAATAAATGGATTTCACTGCAAATTCTACTTCAGCGGCTATGCCATTTTTCCCCCCAAAACAAAATATATTCCTGTTCATAATTGCAATTACAGTTGTACTTGGAGAAAAAAAAAAAGGTAATAAAAGGCATTTTAACTCTCCCTCCCCTCCCTTTCTGGCAACTCTTAGAAACCCCTCTAAAGATGATTAACTTGTTTCTATTGCAGAGGCAGGCCTATGATAGCCAGCTCCCCTGTCCTCTGCTGTGTGTGTAGCACACAAGCATTACCTTTAAACTACACTGAGCGAAGCTCTAAAGCAAACTGAACGCCTGGACCTCTTTCTCACCAGAAGCCTGACTGTTTTCTAGACCAGGTTTTCACCACGCAGACCCCACCTCTCACTCCTGCCAAGGAGGAACAAACCCCTCTGTTAGAGCACCCGGAGGAGGAGGAGTGGGGAGAAGAAAGCCTGAAGGATGAGATGCAGAAAAGGACATTCCAGCTTACAGCAAAGGAAAATGAGGTGAGGAAGTCACTGAACCACAGATGCTGGTGTAAGCACTCCAGCAGCAGCACAAGACAAGGCACCAAAGATCTTGAAAGTTTAGAATCTCCTGTAGGATTATCCCCCCAGTTTTTTTTATCCTGATACCAGCATTACCTAAACCCCCAGTGCAGCCTCTGCACGCAGGGTGACACCAGCAGAGCCCTCTCCATGCAAACTCATGGACAGGAGAGTCTCAGCCTCAGAAAAGCCAAAGCCACACTTTAAGAGCTGAAACCCTGAGCACAAAGAAGGCAAGAAGGAAAAAGCTTGCACATAACAAAGCCAACAAAACCAATGCCCTTACAGCTGGGATGCAAAATTCCAAAGCTTGCATGGTGTTTCCCATCAAACCATATCCCCTGCCAACAAACAGCCCCACAACTCTTACAGCAGTAATCAAATAGCAAGGACTTACTGAAAAAGGATTTATAACTTCCCATTGCAGAGCTTACAGGCACACAGGAGAGGAGCTTGTCCTACTAATCCAGGCCGATGAGGCACCACCACCATGAGGCATCACCTGGGGGAGGGCTTTATGAAGCACAATCACAGCTAAAAGGGAACAACTGGGGAGGGACTCCATTACCCCCCATTGGCTCCTGCAGCCTCTTCTGCTAATGCACTGCTCATCAGAAAGGCAGCAGGGTTGTCCAGGTCAAAAGGTGCTCCTCGGGTTTTGGGGTTATGCAGCACAACCTGTTCCATGTTTCAAGGAGTTTAAAGGAGTTTGTAATTGCTCCTGCAGTCAGTGAAACGTAGAATGAATTTCAGCAGGAGAGGCAAACCCTGCCATGAGTGTGCACCCCATGTCTTCTTCCTGACCCACACACTTCCATGGTCATGAAAATAACCGCTGCTTCTCTCTCCCATTTGGGGTGAAAGATGGCAGCAAAGTCCAGATGGCAACAGGCTGTGGCATCACCACATCCCCAGTAACGCCGAGATCTGCTCTGTCCCCTGTAGGTACACACGGACACACGGGTAGCAGGAGTGAAAGTCCCCCATCACCGCAGTGCCCATGCACGGGCGAAGCACTGCAGCCTCTGCGGGAGCCCTGCTGCTGTCGGTGGGTACGGAGGAGAGGGGATCCCCCCTGCTAACGGCCCCTTGCTGTGCTTGCAGTGCATGGAGCTGCGCTCGGAGCTGGAGGCCCTGAGCGAGGAATACCGCTCCTGCCTGACCAGGCTGCGCCAGTGCCGGGATGAGCTCAACCACTTCCAGAGCAAGCAGGCGAAGGTGGGAGATGCTCCTCACCCCGACTCCCAGTGCTTTTGGACCAGGGCTGGAGACTGGTCTGCAAAAATCACGGAATCCCAGTCTAGTTTGTGTTGGAATGTTGGAACTCCTGCCTAAGAGCTCGTCTCAGGTTAAAGCCATTCCCCCTTGTCCTGTAAATGTCTTTTCTCCAGGTTTCTTGTAGGCCTCTTTAGGTATCAGAAGGCTGCTCTAAGGTCCCAGAGAAATATCCCCATTTTGACGTGTTTGCTAGGGATGAGAAGTTTCTTCTCCCCACCGATTTCCTCGTAACACTTGCTTCTCCTTGCAGCGACAGCGCGGTCACTGGGTCCCCCTCCTGGTGGCAGTGATAACAATGGCCATAGCCTCCTTCCTTGCAAGCTACAGACCATGAGGGACCTTCTCAGTGAGGGACTTCACCGCAGGAACTGACTTCTTCACCACCAGCAACATTCCCTCGCTGCAGTGCACCTTCTGCTGCTTCGTACTTGTGTGTTTAGTGTCTATGGAAGCTTCATTCCACACTCCTCACCCCAAATTCCTGCAGCTCCAATAAAGGCTGGAGATCCCCCTTGCCTTGGCTGTTCTGACTGCTTTGCACCAGTTGAAAGTTGTGCTGCCCAGTCCCCACAGCGCTGAGGGACAAAGCCACCGCTGCCAGGGCCTGCACAGGGTGGGAGGGATGTGGTATCCCATGCCCTTGGGATTATCCTTCCTGGTTTTCAGGCATGAGAGGACTACAGGGTTCTCTTATTTCCTCCCTAAATGGGAGGTATTCAACCCTGGACCATCTCTACTGGTACCTGACAAAGAAGCCCAGCTCAGGGAGGTGTTTTAGCACAGTTCCTTCATGCACTGAGCAGTTTTCCCATCTCCCACCTTGTTTGCCCCACTCAGCCCATGGCTCTGATACCATCCTGTAGCCAAACATCCCCACATCTGCTTCCCCTTCACTGCTAGCACATTAATCCAACCAAGACAAGGGGTTTAAGCCCCTTTTGGAGCTGCACGGTGCAAGTTCTACTGCAGCATTTGCCCCTCATTCGATACAATCTGGAGCCTACAATAAGCTTCAGAAACTGAAGATAACGTGGTGTTCCAATTGCGTTTATTAATCCTGAGCCGTTGGCAGCAAATAAATAAAACCTGACTGCACGGGGCAGTCTCTGCAGTCAGGATGGATGCTTAAACCACATGTGTACATCCACGCTGTTTTTCTGCAATGCTATGCATTTGATTTCAACCAGCCTATGAGGTCGGGGGCCCAAGAGCATCACACTTCACCCTTTGGTGCTCAATGGCCTCCTGTGGGCCACACACGGGGAATCCCGAGTCCGTGATGCAAGCGAGAAAGGCCAAGAAGTCTTGAGCTTGCTCGTGTTTTACAAGGCAACCGCTGGCAGAGACACCACCTCGCTCGAGATGCACAGACCTACAAAGTCACTCTGTGCACTGAAAGCCTCCTTCAGCTCCTCGCACCAGGCCCCCAGCGCCTCCTCCAGCTCCCCGCACAGGCTCTCTGGGATGCTGAAGGAGTAGATCTGCACCCCGAGGCTGTCCTTTATCCTGGGGCAGGAAGCCTGGGCTGTGAACACCCTCAGCGGCGTGAGCGCCAGGCAGTTCTCAGTGCTCTCCTCCACGCAGAAGGTGTACGCTGCGGGGTAGCCCAGCAGCACCCCAACGATGGTGCAGAGGTTCCAGCCTGCGGGGACAACCTCGCTGGAGGACACGGGGCCGGCGCTGGCGGCCTCAGCAGCGCTTAAGTGGGCCAAGAGGGTCTCAAGATGGCCCCTGATGGCCTCAGCCTGCGCTGGCCCGCAGAGCTCCGGGCGCTGCCGCCCTGCCGAGACATCCACGAAGGGCGCGGGGCGTGCGCCCAGCACGGCCGCCAACCTCCGCCGGGCGAGCCCGGGCTGCAGCAGCAGCGCCGAGCCCTCAACGCTGAGCACATGGAGGCGGAGCGGGGCCAGCCCGGCCTCCCTCAGCCGCTCCAAGTACCGCCGCAGCTCGCCGGGGCCCGCCGCGCCGCAGTCGTACAGCAGCGCCGGCTTCAACCCCGCCGCCACCGCCAGCACCTCCCCGGCGAGCTGCAGGGCCCGGACCGCCGGTAACCGCCGCCGGGCCCCGGCCCCCAGCTCCTCCCGAGCCGCTGCCACGAGCTGCGGGGCCAACAGCGCGCTGCCCGCCGGAACCTCCGCGCCCATGGCCGCTGGACGCGCACGGGAAGCGACCGCCGGGAGCAGCGCTTCCGGGGCGGCCGCGGCACCGGCGGAGGAGGGAGCCCGGGGCGGAGCGCTTGGGGCCCGCCCGGCCAGGCCGCTCCGCTCCGGCGCAGGCCCGGGCACGCTCGATGGGGCCGCTCCGCCCCGGTCTTGGCTTCGCCGGCGTCAACGACAAGGAGGGAGGCGTTTGGGAGCAGGCCGCTGCCGTCACATGCAGCCAGAGCTTAGGGAAGCAATGTGTATGCGTGTGTGTGTGTGTGTGTGTGTAAGAAGCACAGCACAGAGCCAAGCCCCTGCTTCCAGAGGTGGATGGAGAAGGAGGAGGCTTCTCAAAGCACGTAGAGCTGGTTTATTTAACTATAAATCTGTACAGCTTGCAGCTAAGAAGCACTTTAAAAGAGAGAAATGAAATTAAATAAAGTGATATGCTCCAGGCAGGTCTAATAGAGCAGATCAGAGAAGAAAGAATGATCATGTATTTATATACAAAATACCAGTGGTCGATTAAAAAAATACTACAGCATTGAAAATGCGATTTGTACATGAGTTTCTTTAGCAAAGAGCTGGGAAGAGTGAAGGAGCTTACGGTATCCCTGTAATCCCCTTGCTTTTGAATGCTCCCAAAGGTACCACAGACCACTGACACCAAATCAGAAGCCCAGATTTACATTGATTTTATTCAGATTTAGGCAAGGCACTCGGTAAGAAATAACTTTTTCTGTATGTACAACATAAAGCAAGCCCGGGGCCGAGCCACGCACCTGTCACTGCGCCGGCAGCGGCTGCGCCATGTGCATGGCGGGCGCCTGCATGGGCCACCCCTCCTGGTGGTTCTGCAGCAGGCGGTAGAGCTGCTTCAGATGGGCCACGATGTTGTCCTTGATGTCAGGGGTGGAGATCTGCAGGCGCACGCTGCCGCTGTCAAAGGAGCGCGTGAAGTCACCCGAAAACATCTCATAGATCATCCGGGCCACCACAGGAATGACCTGCGTGAAAGAGGCAGTTGGGGCACACACTGTAGTCCTGCTGGTTTGCCCTGGGTGCAGGGGATGGTTTCCACGCTAACCTAAGGACAGGCACAGACTGATGCTGTTGGGTAACATTTGTATTTACTGTCACAAAACCCATCAGCCCTATTGCTGTTTCCTGGTGTCAATAACCCAAACAGGGAAGAACAATGTCTGCAGGCTTTCATCCAGAGCCAACGCACTGGTCCCCAGCAACATGCGTGTCACCTCAGTGACTTACCTGAACCACAATCAGCTTCCTCTCCCTGGGCTTTCCATCAGGCCATTCTTCTCCAAAACAGAAGTAGATCTCATATGGTGGCTGCTTCTCGATTTGTCCCTTCTGATGGGCAATCAGCTCTAGCAAGAAAAGCACAATGCTGCAAGGCTGTTCTCATCTGGTTAGAAACATTCCCAGGTCTTACCCACATGCTGAGCCACCTCTTACACAATTACAGTGTATTTCTTGCACCAGAAGAGTTTTCTTTTACAGCAAGGCCCTCCAGGGTTTTTCAGAGCATTACACGAGTGACTTTCTTCCAATGCACACCTGCTCCATGTCCTCTGGAACCAGGGAGGTGGTGGCTCCCACCCATGCTCCAAGCACAAGCAAACTAACTAGTGCACCCACCCTTTCCAATAGTGCCACCAAGTGCTCAGACCAGCATCCGAAGCTCTTTTCCACAAGCAGAAGTTACCTACCGCTTAGGAACGTTTCCAGACAGAAGAGTTTGACCTTCTTTTGCCTCTCAATCAAATTTGGTGTGGTGGAAGAAGGCGCGCAGGGACCAGACCAGTACACCTTGCACTGGCAGAGCCGCACAGCGTAGATGGCATGGCCACTGACCTCCAGGATCAGTCCCCTGTCCATAACATCCAGCAACCGACTTGTGAAGATCTTCTGCCTTTCATTGGTGATTTGCTCTGTTCCTGGAAACTTCACTTGCTCCAAACTAATGGGCCCAAAGAGCTCTTCCTGGTCTGGCATAGGACCCAGCTCTCCATAGAAAAGTCTGCATCCCTGCGGGTTGCTTACAGTCGTCGTCGGCCCGGTCTCCTTCCCTCGATACTCAAACTTGATTTCTAGGTCTGTCACTGAGAGAGAACCTGTCAGTATGGCTTTTCCCGGACCTTTACATGTACTGCATCAGCAGCAGGCACACACCACACAACCCACACTACACAGGGATGTTTAAACTATGCACGGCTGCCCATGCTAAGGGGCAAACAGCCACAGTGAAAAAGTCAAAACAAGGACAGAAGCTGTAGAAATCCATATACATACTTGGTAGAGAGCTGATCCAGAGCTCAGGGCTGCTGAAGAAGTCATGCTGCAGTGCTGTTGGGGGCATTTCCATGTCTAGAGGTTCATTCTTTGGCCACACAGCTTCGGGGCTGCAGTTTTCTGCACTGGCTGGAGCCATTGGAGAATCTACAAAAAGGAAGTGATTCCTCAATAAACCACTTTACAAGCAAATTCCTTCACTGATACATTAGTCTATGCCACCAACCATTGATATTAAGAAATGGAAATGTCTCTTGAATAGGGACATGCTGAGATTGATTCAATTCCTCCTCCTCTTCATCGTCAAGATCATTATCCTTTTCATCCCACGGAGCTGAGCCAGTGGAGCCTACAAACAAGCACATTCTTGTGGGTAGTTGATCGGTGTGAAACACTGTGATCTTCATATTGGCTCTGCACGATATTGGACATTTATTTGTGTATTTTCCAAATAGAAAAGGGAAAATCGGATCCATACCACATGCTATTTTCAGTTTAACACATAACTCAGAAAACTAAGGATAAACTATCATCAGTGTGACTGTTCAGCTGACCAGGTACAGCTTTATTCATTTTAATACAGGTATACAATGATTCAGTGTCCTCTTAGCTTAAGCACAGCTGGATTTACACACGGCAGCTTTCTGCTGCACACAAAGGCAGCTTGAGAGTTAACGCTGAGGGAACGGAACTCACATTGGACAAGCGCCTCTCAGTAACCAGCCCTGTGTCAGCAAGGCCCTCACCTGGATTAATGATTGATCCCTGGGATTGCGGGATATCGCACACTTCATAAATTTTAATAGGATTCATGGGCACCTCCTTGGTGCCATCGTACATCAAATTGAATTCCCGGCTTTTGTTAAGAGCACATCGGAGCTGGGCTTTCCACTTTGCAGGGTCAGGCTCGTCGACTCCTTCCTGGTACTTTCCTGTTTCCACAGCCCATGCCTGGGGACAAAGTACACCGTGTTCAGTCCAGCCTTCTCAACAGAGCAGCTTTTATCAGAAATCAAACTTCCAAACAAATTTGCTGTAAAATCCTTCTCTTTGCAGAAGTCTGAACTATACCTCTTTTGATAACAGCAATGGAAAATCCCACTTTTAATAGTTTTTCCCATTAGAAGGAGGAGGAGAAAACAAGATGTAAACCCAAATTTCCAACCCCCATGCATGCATCTTCATACACATTACGCATAAGTGTTACAGCATTGGGCACTGAGCTTTTCTAGGTCTCTCAGGTTCAGCACCACAAGCAATTTTTGACAGTGAGCCATAACCTGCACACCGCGGAATGGGCTCGGTTGGAACAGAGTAGAAGAGCAGCCACAGCCATCCAACTGGTCCTCTCCCTCCCTCAGCCCCAGATCACACTATCAGGCCAAGATCCCTCAGAGGCAGAGGTCAGAAGTTCCTCAAAGAAGTGTAGGAGTTATAATGAATCCCTTGGGATAAGAATATTAAGGACAGCAGCAATGGAAGTTTGCGGTGGACCTCTTCAAATTTATTTAACAGTAACAGTATTTAATGGTTTGCTGCATAGAACAGGCCAGCTACCACATCCTAAACCGAGCAAATAGAGTAAACAGCAGTCATCTCCCAGAGCCCAAGGAATCAGACATCATCTGGCCTTAGGTGGTCAGAAAGGGTTAAAGAACTCCACAGCCTTTCAGTGCCAAGTCTGGCATCCAGGTGCACAAAGTGGCTTTTCTGAGGTCAAAGAAACAGGACAAAATGTCCCTGGAAACAGGTACTGAAATAGCTGCCCAGCTTCTGGGCCAACAATTCAACCCTTTGTCTCTGGTTAGGAGCTGTGGTGTGTCTGAGCTCTCCCCTCCCTCACCTTGAAGATGGTGTTCTCCTCCTCGTGCTGCGGGCTGTGCCGAGTTGCGTGCTTCCAGGGGATCTGAAACCGCTTCGCCTCTCGGTTTAGCCAGATGAGGCCGGGATACATCCCGCTATCTACCTGGGCCACCAGCCATGGCTTCAAGCGGACTCTTCGTGGGTGTAATGCCATTGTCTACAAAAGGCAGAGCAGCTGCTAAGGGTTAACTGAGACTTAGATGCTTTAAATACAGTTAATTCCATGAAAGAGGACCCTGCTGCTGTCTGTTGTCTTCCTGCACCTTGAAAACGCTAATTTGGGTTCAGTTAGATGACCTTCCTGCCAGGAGGAGTTACAAACACATCACTAAACAGGGACCATAACTGTTACAAGAACAACTCACTGTTAAATACTCCGGGAAGCAGAGAGTGCGCGTTGTGTGTGAACTGAGCACACAGAGGGCGAGCCCCAGTCAAACCTGAGCCGTAAACGCAGTGCAGGAGATAAAGCCACAAACAAGCCACAGCAAGAACAGGCAGGAGAGTTTCAAAAGCCTCCACGTATGCCTTAGCAAAAGGGCCTGATCTAGTGCTTCTGCAGTCGGGTCAGACTTGCACTGAGGAGGAGAAAAAAGAACTTGTGCCAAACCAGAGGCTTTTGCCCCAGTTGAGGTGAAGCTGGAAGCATCAGGCTGAAGGGAAGGGGTCTGTTTCATCACAGAATGACATTTTCATGAGTACCCTGAACGCAGTTGAAACCATGCACAAACATCACTGACCTACAGTAACCAGGATGTTTATCCAGAAGGACATGAACTGCAAGTCTGCCCACACTCCTGCTAGGAATCAAGTGATGTTGACTTAATGTTTAGGGTTTTTTCCTAAGAGCAATGCTTTAATTAACTTATCAAAGCTGTTGTTCAAGTATCCTGGTGTTGCTAATACATTTGCTGCCAACCAACAGTATTTTTCCTGTGCAGAACAGAGACAAAGGCAAACAAACAGAAGTAACAATTATTCCTCTGCAAGAAGAGGCAGCATTTGGTATCTTTAGGTTTTGTGAGGGGGTTTTTACACTACAAGTGTGCTTTGAAGGTGTATTTCCCATATTCATTTGTAAATCTTGAAACAGATGTGAGAAATTACATGAATAAAGCAGTTACAGGATAGGCAAAACCTTTGCCATAAGCCCTGAATACTGCTGCAGGAGTTGCAAAATGTGTCTAGTAGCAGAGATAAGAGAAGATGAAAAACATCCTATCCAAGAACTAGTCTAGGAACAGGTTTTATTTGTTGAAATACCTGCAGATCCCATTCAGACACAAGTGTTCACAGAAAATTCATCTGAACACAGCTTATTTTCTCTGTTAAGTAAAGAAGACATTCAGATTCAACTGCAAATCATCTCTAAGTAAGAGTTTGAACATGTGCTTCATCAAGGACCTGGGCATGTCAGCAGATTGCTCCCCAGGAGCTGCAAAGGATCAGAAAGCAGTCATCAAAGTTATTCCTGTGCTTCTGAAACTCTCCTGTCTTAGTTCCCCAGGTGGAAAACACTATTAGAATTAAACTTGCAGTAGCATGTTTGCAAAGACACAAAGTCCAGGTTAATCCTGGACTTAGAATTGAGACCAAATCCAGATATTGATTGCAAAAAGAAGAATTACTTCTCATTGTAACAAGGAAACTAAAGCTTGTTTCCATCACCTCTTAACTTTACAAGCAGTTCCCTCTGCTTCTAATAACATACACCATGTACATACCCATTTGCAAGACCAGGAGTGAATTCAAACCCACACATGAGGAAATAAAACTCGTGCCTCTCAAACAAAATACATTCAGTCTCATGGAGGTGTAATGGCATTGCCAAATGAGGTCGGAATTGTCCCTCTGCTCACAGACAGCGTCTGTCAATACACCACATTACAATGCTTTATGACCTTTTATCACTAACGACTTGTTGACACGATAACCGAGACCAAACCAACTTGAATCCCATTGCTGGGCTCAGACAGTGAGTCAGCCTCTTACAGCCTTCAACTTCGATCTGGCAGGTCCACCAATGCCAGAGGCTCCTGGAGCCAAGGGTGAGCTCGGGGAATATCTCACACTATTAATAGGAATTACCAAAGGCAGCACTCAGGACTCCTCAGTGCACATACCCAGGGATCCTCCAGTTTGCTTTATTCCCACTCAAATTTGCTGGTGCAGGGGGGTAATTAGCACATCCCTGTGCTGCTAATGCATCTCTGGTCAGTGATGTAATTATTCTCTGTACCACAATTATTATTAAGTCAGACGTTTTTCCTTGTAGAGGAGACATTCACCCCAACAAGAACAACTCAAACAAGCTCAAGAATGAGCAGACATCCTGCAGCCACTTCCCTGAGGGCCGCAGATGAGAGACCAAGGTCAGGGACAATCCTGGATGACTGTGAGAGTTCTGGGGGTCCAGCACGGAGCCAACCAGTGTAACATCACAGAGGATGGTGTGACCTGACGCCGATCTCAGCCTCACTGCACAGAAGCTTTCACTCTCCACCTGCACACCCAAGTGTGCTTCCGCTCCACCCTTGTCATGAAGCCTCTAAAGAAGGCAGGGGTCTTCTCCAGGACCACTGCAGCTACACCGCAGGCCTCTGCTCATTACTTTTGTCTGCATTATCCTGTATTTCAGGGATTTGTATTGTATTTTCAAAGACAAGCAGCTCAACCCTTTAATATTAGTATTTGCACACAGAAACACTGAATTTTCAGCTGAGTATCCAACACCTAATCACTTCTCTGCACTGGGAACCCGCAGCTCCACGTTTCAGAGACCCACACATCACTTTTCCTGCAGCCACCCGCACTCCCTGCCCTGCCAGCAACACGCCCTGGGCACTACAAGCCCTTACCGTATGCCCAGTGGAATAACCTCAACCCCTCCACGGCCCGATAACCTTGGTGCCTCGGAAGGGGCATGAGCCGTTACCGATAAATTGGGTTCCCAGGATGGTAACGGCTCCGGTCCGACAAGAGGCGGAGGGGATGGGATGGGACGGGACGAGTCACCCTCGCCCTAACTTCGGGCCTCATTTACACCAACCCGATAGACGTAGCCTGAGGCGAATACAGCCGCAGGGAGCGCGCAGCCCCACAGACACCGGGCTCTGCCCTCCCGCGGCCCCCCGCTCAAGCCCGACCCCGCATCTCCCACCGGCCCCGTCCCGCCACCCTCCCACGGCCACCAGCGCGTCCTGCGCTCCGCCGGGCCCCCTCCGCCCCGCGCCTTTCCGCGTCCCAACCAAACCCCCGCGGCCCGGAGCCCCGCTCGGGACGCGGCTTCGCGAAGGGCGCTCGGCGGGGTGGGGTGGGGTGAGGTGGGGCTGGGCTCGGGGTCCCGCGCCCCCCGCCCCGCACACTTACCCCTCCCTGCGGCCGGGCGGCGGCGGCTCCGGGCCCGCGGGGGCTCTCGGAGGGGGCGAGGGCAGCGGAGCGCGGCGACACCCGCGGCCTGAGCCCCGCCCGCACCTGCCCAGGTGCGCCCGGCGCAGCCGCCGCCCCGCCCCGTCAGGCCACGCCCCCTGCCCGGAGGCCACACCCCCCACGCCCCCGGTTCGGTTCTTCTCGTGGGTGGGAAACCGGAGCCGTGAGTCAGGAGCTTAGTGATGGCGTTCAGTGAACGGGAAGAAAACGGGGGATTTCCCGTCTCTTTCCATTCGTGTGCTGAATCCCGGCTTTGGGAAGGTTGACGTATCCCGGGAGCAGCCCTGGGTGAACGTTTGAAAGTCTTCACATACAGAGAAAAATCCTAAAGGGGCTCCAGGAAACCTGGAGAGGGGCTTGGGGCAAGGGATGTAGGGACAGGCCAAGGGGAATGGCTTTAACCTGCCCGAGGGGAGACTGAGATGAGCTCTTAGGCAGAAGCTCTTCCCTGTGAGGGTGCTGAGGCGCTGGCACAGGGTGCCCATAGAAGCTGTGGCTGCCCCATCCCTGGCAGTGTTCAAGGCCAGGTTGGACACAGGGGCTTGGAGCAAGCTGCTCCAGTGGAAGGGGTCCCTGCCTGTGGCAGGGGCTGGAACTGGAGGAGCTTTAAGGTCCCTTTAACCCAAACCATTCCATGATGATGAATACCTTATCCCCCATAGTTATTCCCACTGTATAAAAACACAATATATGGCCAAATAGCGAGCAGCTGGGAAGAGACACAGACAGACAGAGCTGAACTCCCAGCCAAACTATGAGGGATCTTTGATCTCTCAAAAGCTGCCTTCATCCTCCCCACATTCCTCCTGTCCACATGCCCATCCTGCATGGTGATGGGTAAATTTAAGGATGCCACAGGTCTGCTTTCCTTGTGGGCTGATGCTTGAGGAAGCAGACACGGGTGATGCGGCACACGCACCCACACACCTGGGCTGTCTGAGGCAGAGAGTTGGGACCAGCTGGGGCAGAGCTTTGCTGCTTCTAGACCCTCTATAAGGACCCTTGACCGCCCAGCCCACGAGTGGGGTCTTAGGGCAGGTCATGGCTGTGGTATGGAACATAATGGAGCAAAATGAGAGGCGAGGGCTGCTCCAGCGTGGGTTTAGGATCTCCTTTGCCTCCAGTTTCACTGAGGCTGGTCCTCCCGCAGCTGTGCCCGCCTGCACCTTTATTACAGGCTCCGTGCCTTCCCGGAGTGGGAACGCAGATGCCAAACCAGTGAGTGTTCCAGCCCAACGCAGGGTTTGTGTTTTTCTTGAGTCTCTACAGCCGGCGCTGCAGCATGTGGCAGCATGTTGTGGTAGTGAACCGGCAGGAAACAAGCTCTCCTTTTCCATGCTCTCAGCTGGGAAACTCTGCAGCTTCTGAGCTGTCTAGGTGAGAATCTAGGGATAGCTCATTAGGCAGGACATGTAATGAGGCATGTAAGCTGTTTGCAACTAACCATCCAAAGTGTTCACTCTGACATAATATATAAAGCATTGATCCTAACCCAGCAGCCAAACAGGACCAACCCCTTCACTTTTTATTCTTTCTGCTTATATTTACCTCTACCTGCATCTTTTTTAAGTCAGATGAAGAAAGCCTTTGGCTGACAGACTGTACTTCATGAAGCGGCAATCTCCTGGCTGCAGCTCTTTCACACAGTGTACAGAGCGCACACTCTGGGACAATGCAGAGGAATTTTCATACCAGGAGCTATAGGATTTGCTTTTATTTTGGTGCCAAATTAACATCAGTACTTTTATCAACACGATTGTATCGTGATATCTGCGATAACACCAGCTAAGCTTTGTAACCCAGGTCTCTTGCAGTCCTTTGTTCCTAGCTGGAAAAGGCTGGAGTCATCAAAACAAAGAGGAACCATTTTCTCTCCTGGGAACAGATCACTAAGTTCCCATAAGGCAAAACAACATTATGCAATGAGGCAAGACAATGTCCTGGGCATGTGGAGTCTTGCTGTCTGCTCACAGCGCTCGCATTCCAGCATGCAGCCGTGGTGCAGCACAGCACGAAATGGTGGAAAGCTTCACCCCAGCACATGCAGAACTCCCCTGATGTGCTGCTGGAGAAAGAGCCATGAGGTCTCCCCACCCTGTGTCCCCCAGCAGCTCTTTATGACCCAGAGAGAACCCATGTGCTTGCCAGGATGGTTCAACAAATATTCAAGGCCAGGTTGGACACAGGGGCTTGGAGCAAGCTGCTCTTGTGGAAGGTGTCCCTGCCCAGGGCACAGGGTTGGGACTGGATGAGCTTTAAGGTCCCTCCCAACCCAAACCAGTCCAGGGTTCTGTGAAATATTGGAGGGAAAAAGCTGTTTCTTTACATGATCTTTGTAACTGAGGATGGGGAAGTGGAAAACACAACAGAACTGGTTTATAAATACCACAGTGACTGTGCCAAAGACTTTGTTCCAGGAGGTCCAGCA